ATAACGAAGAGGGTCAGTATCTCTTGATCCCTGCTAGCCGAATCTTGGACCTTGTTTGAGTCCTCTCGCCTACGGCTTCGTTAATGAGAGATACCTATGGCTGCGTTAAAGAAAGGAAAGGAAAAGAAAAGAAAAGACAGTACTTTACGTCTGTAGACGGACGAGACCAACAGATTGAATGCGGAAAAATAGAAAGCAAGAGCGCGGAAAACAGCGAAAAGGTAAACAAGTAGTCCATCATTCGACGAATCTCTCCAGGTTGTTTGTGAGCAATTCCCAGGGCCAAGTCCCACTAGCAGCATTGAGTTTCCTCAGTGCCTGAATTTAGACATGTTTGTGGAGTGTGCAGAAACCGCGTTGAGTTTTCTCAACCACAAATCTCCGCAAACACGTCCTCATTCAGGCATTGACGAAACTCAGCGCTGCTAGTGGGACTTGGCCCCAGGCCTCAAAGCTCCACTCTTTCAATAGATCAGAGGTGAAGCTTCTTCTCGGTTATTGTAATTGAAATTCCTTGCTTTCTTCTTTCTCCCCCCCCCCCCCCCCCCTCCAAAAACAAAACCTCCACCGCGTCCTTACCCAGCCCCTGAGGCTGAATGGTACACTGGGTACTACACCCATTGTATCCTTGATATACAGACAACCCTTGATATACCTACGTCTGTTCGAATGCTGCTGGAGTCCGATGACTGCAACGAGGGCATACTTGGACTCTTACTACAAAGCTCTGCCACTGGACGTTATTGCAGTCTAATTGCAGCCTAATTGCAGTCTAATTGCAGTCAGATGCAATATGATAGACTACCTGCTGTGCGACTACACCCTTACTCCGAGTTACCTGTGGCTGAGTTGGAACAAGAAAACAAACAAACAAAAAGAAAAACAAACAAACAAACAAACAAACAAACAAACAAACAAACAAACAAACAAACAAACAAAAAAAAAAAAAAAAAAAAANAAAAAAAAAAAAAAAAAGGTTACCTGTGGCAGGTCAGTTCGATGATGATGAGTACTAGCCCTTTTCAAAAGAAGAGAGGAACAAAAACGGTAACATTTTGTTTTCAAGGATAAGAATTCTGAATTCCTTTTTCTGTTTGCAACAGCTGAGGGGAGGGGCAGCTCAGGGGCTCCGCCTGATGAAGCAAGCAGGCCTTTGGAGACCTTGCAGCCCCTGAAATTGGACCCTTGCGGATATCTGTATATTTTCATTACTTTATTATTAGAAAAATTAAACAAAGCAATATTCGTCTCTTAATTTGAAATTCACCCTTTACTATGTACCTACCACTACTCCTAAAAGCCTATACAGGGAGTCCCCTGCAAGCATAGCCACCTGCATGTTACCCTATCTGTGGAGTTTGCCGTGGGCACGCACTGGGACCTAATAAAAAGACTGGAAAAGAAAGAAAGGAAGAAAGAAAGTGAGAGAGAAATATATGTTTTTTTCTTTTCGTTTGAAAGAATAAGAACAGAAAAAAACTTTTCTTAGCAACATGGTATGTCTGGGGCGAGGTCCTACTAGCAAAGAGGATTGCATTGAGCTCCGGAATCTGGACGTGTTTTATGCAGCCATGCAGCCATGCAGTTCAATCTCCATTTTCCCCACTCTCTCTACAGGGAAGACTCCAGATCATTCCAATCCTCTTTGCTACCTTCTTCACATGAATGAAACGTGCCGTATAATTATAGCTGAATTTGTGCCGCATTTCAGTCCAGATACCACTCTCATGACCGTACGTTTTATTCGGGTGAAGAAGGTAGTGGGACGGCAGGAGGGGGTGGAGTGGGGGGGCAACAACAAAAAAGAAAGGGCAGACGAGGCTCTCGGCGTTCGCCACAGGTGGACACAGGTGACGAAGCGCCAGACGCTCAGCAGCTGTGCCCCCGTAATTAGAAAGCACGAGCCCACCTGGTCGTAAAAGTGTCCAGTTTCATGCTTCCTAAGCTTACAGATAGAAACGAGAGGAGATGAACAAGACGAAGGGCCCATCTAATTTGACACTTGGACGTGAATTTTGAGGGGAAAAAAACAAAACAAAACAAAACAAAACAAAACAAAACAAAACAAAACAAAAAAACAACAACGGAAAAAGAAGAAGGTCCCACTAGAAAAAAAGGAAAAAAAAAAAAAAAAAAAAAGAAAAGAAGAAGAAAAAAAGAAGGCCGCACCAGAAACAGAATTCTCGAAACCACCACTCAGTGGCTGTGGGATCGTCATCCATCTAGAGGTTTTTGTGTGGAGGAAAGCTGGCATCCAAATTATCTGTGTTCATCGGCCAATTTGTTTGTTCTAAGGGCCTAGATGTGCACCACTCGCAGTCAGCCAAGGTCTGGAATGAATTTGGACACTAACGCGGCCACATGCATGCAGAAAGTTGGGGGATGGGGAGTGCTGCAAGCAGCCCCTGATTCTCTAAAATTCGCCTTTTTTTTTTCAATAGGTTTCTTTGAAAAAGGGCGAGACGCAAGCGGGGACGTCGGTCCAACCAGGAAGCGGCAGGGATAAGCTTGAGCTTGCACCTTAGCGCAAGGCTTGTCCACCGTGCAGATCGATCATCTCGACGGCTGGCAGTCAATCGACTTATCGTGCTGTTAGTGGCCGGACGACCCCGTCACAGAAAATATTTTCAGTCTGGTTATCTCGCCCCCCGTTGTCTTGACGTTATGGCGGTTTCTTGCATTGTCCCATCCCCTCTGTACAGCTTCGCCCATATCTCTCTCTCCTCTCCACCCTCGTCTCCCCCCCTGTTCTCCACGTCCCACATCTCTCCTTCTCTCCCTTTTTTTACTTTTTATTTTTTATTTTTTTTATTTTAATAACGTCTCATCTCCTGTCCGCTTGGGTGAAGGAAAACCTGCGAGGAGGTGCGCTGCATGCTCCGGACCGTACAGGTCACAGCAGGCAGAGAGCGGAGAGAGGAGCTGGGGTTGTCATAAAAAAAAAAAAGAAGAAGGAAATGTAATAAGCAGATGAGTCTGACTAATTAATCATTATGAAAACGTGCCTCGTCGAAACGGGTGCAGAAAATTCGAGAAAGAAAAGGACTTTCATGTCAACATGAGAAGAAAAGGTGAGGCTAAACGCGGCGGAGTGTAGTGTCTGGGAGTCGCAATTTCGTCTGTTGGTGTGTGTTGTGTGTGTGTGTGTGTGTGTGTGTGTGTGTGTGTGTGTGTGAGAGAGAGAGAGAGAGACTGCGTGTGTGTGCGTGTGTGCGTGCGTGTGTGTGTGTGTGTGTGTGTGTGTGTGTGTGTGTGTGTGTGTGTGTGTGTCCCCGTCCGTGGAAGACGGATGCTTTTTTGTGGGTTTTTCAGGAAGGGTTTGGAAGAAGGGGGGGGGAGGGGGGTAGTACATTGGCATCCACAATGCGTTATATCACATCCGCATGAACCAGACCAGATGGACGGGCTATTTCCTTCCGTTCATCCCGAAACGACGGGTAAAGCGGGCCGCGGGCAAGGGAGGGGAAGTAGCCAATCGAGTGGCGGGATCTGACGGTCCAGCCATTGCTACCGAAAGCCGGTGCGCAACAATCGGAAGCCAAAGACGAAACGAGAAAGTAGGCTGCTTGAGAGAGACTGTGTGTGTGTGTGTGTGTGTGTGTGTGTGTGTGTGTGTGTGTG